GTGGGGGGGGCAGGGGGAGGGGGCGCCCTCTGCAGGGTCATACACTTCACTGCGAACCTCCAGAAGGTTGTTCTGAACCAGAGTGAAGACACTCTACAGCGCCTCAGTGTGGACGTCCTCAGTGTGGACGTCCTTCAGGAAACACAGACACAGCCAATCCCAGATTAGGGATTTTCTTTAATCCCTCTCAGTCTCAGCTCCCTGCAGTCACACTGGTTTTAATGAGGCTCAGACTCCGCCCCTCACGCCCCCCAGAGTCTAAACTCTGAATTGAAAATTCCTCAGCTTTAATTTTTTAATCTGATCAATCAGCGTTTAATGAATCACAGTTAACGATCGTCGTTGATCAGGATTAAGACTGATCAATCTGCCGGGCCGCTGCCGGGCCGCTGACCAGAGGTTGACGCCTCCACAAACACCTGCTGGGGTTTAAACCTCGAGGAGCTTCAGTCAAACAAAAACTCCTCCCCACAGTGTGTATAAATACCAACAACAGGTCGGTGGAATCAGACCACAGACCTCGTCCTGATTGGACACAGGAAGGACCTGCAGCTCCAGGCTCCGCCCCCTCCTGAGGGGAGTGGTCTGACCAGTGGTCTGGACCAGGACCAGGATCGGTGGTCTGGACCAGGACCAGGACCAGTGGTCTGGACCAGGACCAGTCACTGGGCTTTACTGCAGTACTGACTGATGATGTCATTGTGACATCATCACATCTCGTTCTTTAACCTGACGCACTTGAATGAACGCGATGATGACGAAGCCACTGAATCAGAATAATGACAGCGCCACCACCTGGTGCCGTCAGCATTACAGACAACACTCGTCTCTTCCAGATGATTGGAGCTTTTTCCACCTCTGAGATAATCGTCCTCTGAACGCAGCACATCAGTGACATCACTCTGGTACTTCACCAGTGTGTGTCACTGCTGGTCCAACGTGGCTCAAAATAGGGGTTCAATTTAACCCTGCGTGGAGCTGCTGTTACTGAAACCTTGGCCAAGGACAGTGAAGGCATCGCTGACCCCTCCCCCCCCCTCAGCCCCTCCCTCGTGTATCCTACCTTGAGGAAGGTGTCCAGTGAACCGTTCTCCATGTACTCAGTGATGATCATCACTGGTTTACCTGGAAACAACAACAGGAAACAACTGCATTTAGACCAAGATGAAAAGAACTTTGTTCAGATCGTGTTTCATTTCCACGATCTTTGGACCAAGTTCTAACTTCAAAGTTTTGTTTAAAAAAAAAAGAAAAAAACAAGTTATGTTTTTGCTCAGCCGTGAGTGAGTGATGAACCAAATGTCTGTGAGTTAAAGCTCATCTGGACCAGTCTGCAGACTGACTGACAGGGGTGTCAGTCAGTCGGCAGACTGACTGACGGGGGAGTCGGTCTGCAGACTGACTGACAGGGGAGTCAGTCAGTCTGCAGACTGACTGACAGGGGTGTCAGTCAGTCGGCAGACTGACTGACGGGGGAGTCGGTCTGGAGTTGGTCTGCAGACTGACTGACGGGGGAGTCGGTCTGGAGTTGGTCTGCAGACTGACTGACGGGGGAGTCGGTCTGGAGTTGGTCTGCAGACTGACTGACGGGGGAGTCGGTCTGCAGACTGACTGACAACCCTGTCAGTCTGCAGACTGACTGACAGGGGTGTCAGTCAGTCGGCAGACTGACTGACGGGGGAGTCGGTCAGTCTGCAGACTGACTGACAGGGGTGTCAGTCAGTCGGCAGACTGACTGACGGGGGAGTCGGTCTGGAGTTGGTCTGCAGACTGACTGACGGGGGAGTCGGTCTGGAGTTGGTCTGCAGACTGACTGACGGGGGAGTCGGTCTGGAGTTGGTCTGCAGACTGACTGACGGGGGAGTCGGTCAGTCTGCAGACTGACTGACGGGGGAGTCGGTCTGCGGACTGACTCACATCTCTGTCAGTCTGCAGACTGACTGACAGGGGTGTCAGTCAGTCGGCAGACTGACTGACGGGGGAGTCGGTCTGGAGTTGGTCTGCAGACTGACTGACGGGGGAGTCGGTCTGGAGTTGGTCTGCAGACTGACTGACGGGGGAGTCGGTCTGGAGTTGGTCTGCAGACTGACTGACGGGGGAGTCGGTCTGCAGACTGACCGACGGGGGAGTCAGTCTGCAGACTGACTCCCCTGTCAGTCTGCAGACTGACTGACAGGGGAGTCGGTCTGCAGACTGACTGACAACCCTGTCAGTCTGCAGACTGACTGACGGGGAGTCGGTCTGCAGACTGACCGACGGGGGAGTCAGTCTGCAGACTGACTCCCCTGTCAGTCTGCAGACTGACTGACGGGGGAGTCAGTCAGTCTTCAGACTGACTGACGGGGGAGTCGGTCTGGAGTTGGTCTGCAGACTGACTGACGGGGGAGTCGGTCAGTCTGCAGACTGACTGACGGGGGGTCAGTGGAGGGAGGAGGAGCTGAGTCAGACGGACGCTGAGAGGAAGTGAAAACAGCTGATGACTCACTCTTGGTGACCACGCCCTCCAGACGGATTATGTTCGGATGGTTAAACTGGCCCATGATCGACGCCTCCCACAGGAAGTCGCGCCGCTGCTGCTCCGTGTAGCCCGCCTTCAGGGTCTTGATGGCGACCTGGATCTCTCTCTTCCCAGGCAGCCTCAGCGGTCCGCTGCACACCTCTCCAAACTCCCCTGAGGTGAAAACACAGCCGTCAGCAACGGGAAAATGATCGGTTCAAACTTTTTATCTGACGAACCAAATGTGGTCAGACGTGAAGTCTGGGTGTCTGGGTGATACGGCTAACGCTCCGCTGAACGCCCGGTTTGTCAGACTAACACGACGCCTCAAATCAACATTCCAGAGCGAACGACCACGACGGCATTTATAGCCGTCATTTTCCAGCTCGGCAGCTTAATTGACGGTGTTTAACGGAGCATCTTTACAAGATCGTTCAATTACAAATGTGACAAATTCACTCAGGGTGAAAGATAGACGAGCCATGACCTCGGAGAAAATGAGGAAACGTTCGAATTCTGTACAAAACAACAGACAGGAGTTCAACAAACGACAGGACGGTCGGTGATGTCGGGTCGGTCGGTGACGTCAGGTCGGTCAGTGACGTCACGTCGGTCAGTGACGTCAGGTCGGTCGGTCAGTGACGGCAGGTCGGTCAGTGACGTCAGGTCGGTCGGTCGGTGACGTCACGTCGGTCAGTGACGTCAGGTCGGTCGGTCAGTCAGTGACGTCAGGTCAGTCAGTGACGTCACGTCGGTCAGTGACGTCAGGTCGGTCAGTGACGTCAGGTCGGTCAGTGACGTCAGGACGGTCAGTGACGTCAGGTCGGTCGGTCAGTGATGTCAGGTCGGTCGGTCAGTCAGTGACGTCAGGTCGGTCAGTGACGCCAGGGCGGTCGGTCAGTGACGTCAGGACGGTCAGTGACGTCAGGTCGGTCGGTCAGTGATGTCAGGTCGGTCGGTCAGTCAGTGACGTCAGGTCAGTCAGTGACGTCAGGTCGGTCAGTGACGCCAGGGCGGTCGGTCAGTGACGTCAGGACGGTCAGTGACGTCAGGTCGGTCGGTCGGTGACGTCAGGTCGGTCAGTGACGTCAGGTCGGTCGGTCAGTCAGTGACGTCAGGACGGTCGGTGACGTCAGGTCGGTCAGTGACGTCACGTCGGTCAGTGACGTCAGGACGGTCAGTGACGTCAGGACGGTCAGTGACGTCAGGACGGTCAGTGACGTCAGGACGGTCAGTGACGTCAGGTCGGTCGGTCGGTGACGTCACGTCGGTCAGTGACGTCAGGTCGGTCAGTGACGTCACGTCGGTCAGTGACGTCAGGTCGGTCGGTCAGTCAGTGACGTCAGGACGGTCGGTGACGTCAGGTCGGTCAGTGACGTCACGTCGGTCCGTGACGTCAGGTCGGTCAGTGACGTCACGTCGGTCCGTGACGTCAGGTCGGTCAGTGACGTCTGGACGACCTCTACCTGATCAGACCTGATCGGACATTTACCCCCCAGTGGTTTTGGGAGTGAACTACAGTAATGTTTTCCATGATCTGATTTACTGCTGCTCAGAATGAGAAGGAGGACGTCTGTAAGACGTGCACGTAGAGGCAGCAGCAGCAGCAGCAGCAGCAGCAGCAGCCGGCGTCGACTCACCGGCTCCGATGATCCTCTCGATGGAGATGAAGGAGACGTCGATCTCTTGGGCAAATTCATGCACCGCCTGGTTGGGATCTTCGTAGGTGAGGGGGTCGATGTAGGTACGAACCCCGGGGAACTTTACTGCAGGAAGACAATGACGTCATTTAACCTCTGAACAACCACCAGGGGTCAGGGGTCAGGGGTCAGGGTTCCTCTGGACCTCCAGGACCGGACACCACTGAGATCAACGTCAGCCGTGCAGCAGCCAATCACGGCAGAGCATTCAAACGTCAACTAAAGTTTGATGTGTTTTCATGTGACGTCCGACATCAAACATCAAAGGCTTCAAACGTCTAAATATTCCATTTAAAAGTCATCACTCCACCAGAACGCTGCTGATCTTTACCCCTCACAGACGCCCCCCTGTGGTGTAACTCCACGTGTGCCTTGCTCAGGGACACTTTGATAGACAACACACGTCCACAAACGTTTTTTTTTTGGACACAGAGGTTCCTCTCCAACAACAGCTGAGGCTCCAGAACACACTGTTTTCAAAGGTCATTTCAAAGGTCATTTCAAAGGTCAAGTTTTAGAACGAGGACAGAACGGTGGCTGGACTCACTGTGGCCGTTGTGGAAATGCATCTTCTCCTCCTCAGGATCCTGCTTCGCTTTGCTGTAGCCACAACGTCTGGAGGTGAAAAGAGACGTAAACAGAAGGCATGATGGGTAACTGTGGGGGGGGGGGACGACAAATCATTATCTGCATTCACTTCCTGTACTACACTTCCTGTCCTACACTACCGGCCTGTTTACGTTTCTCTTCACGGCTAAGTTATCCATCGGGAGCCACGTGTTGAGCTCCGTCCTGGTGTTTATCTGTGTTCAGGCTGAAAACGTGAAAGGCAGGAGGCTGACCAGGAGGGGGCAGCGTTACAGACTTCTTTACATACAAAGTGACCAGAACAGAACAGAAAAATAAAGTGGAGACGGTTTGGACACAGAGGGGTCTTGGGGGGGGGGGGGGGGGGGGGGGGACACAGGAGGAGGCAGAGCTGGAGGCAGACGATGAACCGTGGCTCCATCTAAAGGACGAAGCCAAGAACAGCAGAAAAAAAAGATGATTTTTGGAGGACAGGACACTGTCCTTGGGAGACAAACAGGAGACGTGTCTTTGTCTCTCCTGAGCTGGACTCTCAGTAGAAGACACAGCCAAGACCGGGGCTGTTGAATATGAGCAGCTGGATGCTGTAAAGGGCTGAGAGCCAGAGCTTTGTTCACGTTTGTCAGTTCTGTGGAGTCAAGAGGTTTGAGCTTCGACCAGGACTGAAGTCGGTCTCTGGGTCAGAACTGTCACAGTGTTACTGAAACCAGAGGAGGAGGAAAAAAAAACCCTCCATGTCTATTAATGTAAAAAGATCTTCATTGATGAACTGCAATTAACAATTAAAATGTCAATAAATATTGGGCGCCCTCTGGTGTCTGTACCAGGACTGGTTCATTCACTGAGGTTCCAGATTGTTCAAATTGTTCAAATCCCAGCTTTAGTTTTTTTCACAGCGTACGCTGATGAAAACATTATGGTCTGGCAGTAGGAGCCCCCCCTCCCCCCCCCTGGTCATGTGATCATTAGTTCAATCTGACATATTAACTGTTTATTGTTATATGACATTAAGATGATGAACAGAGATAAATAAAGAACTGCACAGACGAGAAGGTGGTTCAACCTGTGGTTCAACCTGTGG